GTTATGGCAGCCCAAGGAAACTAATACAAATAGGAATAAAATATTCAAAGTAATTGATGGAAAGGGAGTGCTTTTCATCCTAAAAGATTATAAAATGAATTTAATTAAACTTACATAAGGTTGGGGTGCAAAAGTAATTGTGGTTTTCGCATTGTTGAAATTTGCTGTTTGATATTGGAATATATTCTTAAGTAAATGTGGTTATGTTATACATCATTTTAATGTGCATTTCTCTATGTTTTTTTGCTAATGATTTACTACTTGATGTTTATATTTATTTTAGACTGTGGAAATGATGTTAGACAAAGAGCAAATTCAGTGATTTTCTTATTCGAGTTCAAAATGGGTCATAAAGCAGCAGAGACAACTCACAACATCAACAACGTGTTTGGCCCAGGTATTGCTAATGAACATGCAGGGTAGTCGTGGTTTTGCAAAGGAGACCCTTGAAGATGAGGAGCGTAGTGCCCAGACATCAAGAGTTGACAGTGACCAATTGAAAACATTCATGGAAGCTGATTCTCTTACAACTATGTGAGAAGTTGCCAAAGAGCTCAGCATCGACCATTCTGTGGTCATTCAGCATTTGAAGCAAATTTGAAAGGTGAAAAAGCTCGATAAGTGGGTGCCTCATGAGCTGACCAAAAAAAATTTTTTTTAATCATCATTTTAAAGTGTTGTCTTACCTCATTCTATGCAACAACGAACCCATTTGTCCATTGGATTGTGATGTGTGATGAAAAGTGGATTTTTATACAATAGCTAACAATGACCAGCTCAGTGGTTGAACAGAGAAGATGCTCCAAAGCACTTCCCAAAGCTAAACTTGCAGCAAAAAAAGGTCATGGTCACTGTTAGGTGGTCTGCTGCCAGACTGATCCACTACAGCTTTCTGAATCCCAGCAAAACCATGACATCTGAGAAGTGTGCTCGGTAAATCAACGAGAGGCACCTAAAACTGCAGCGCCTTTAGCCAGCATTGGTCAACAGAAAGGGCCCGATTCTTTTCCATGACAACACCCAGCCGCACATTGCACAACCAACACTTCAAAAATTGTTCGCCTCATCTGCCATATTCACCTGACCTCTCGCCAACCAACTGCCACTTCTTCAAGCACCTCCACAACTTTCTGCAGGGACAGTACTTCCACAACCAGCTCCAGGATGCAGAAAATGCTTTCCAAGAGTTTGTCGAATTCCAAAGTACAGATTTTTATGCTACAGGAGTAAACAAACTTATTTCTTGCTGGCAAATATGTGTTGATTGTAATAGTTTCTATTTTGGTTAGTAAAGTGTGTTTGAACCTAGTTATAATGATTTAAAATTCACAGTCTGAAAGTGCAATTACTTGTGCACCATCCTAATATTTAAGAACTTTTAGGTTTTAATTGCCACTACATGCTAAGTCTTAGAACAAACAAAGAATGAATCAATTCTAATTTATTTTTTAATTGGGGAAGTACTAATTTTCCCCAGTGTTAATTTTTTTTATGGAGGAACAGGGCCTTTTTTTTCTTTTTGGACTTTCCATGTAGACAGTTTAGTTGATTCATCTCTAGTTTCAACAGAGCATTATCTTTGGTCTGCACAAGTTTCTGTATTAGTAGTTTCTTATTGTTGTAGGAAATTACCCAATGTAGTGGTTTAAAGCTATACAAATTTTTTAGTCTTACAGTTCTGAAGGTTAGAAGTTCAAAGTGGATTTTATGGGTCTAAAACCAAAGTGTCTCCCTCAGGCAGCTGTCCTTCTTCTGTAGGTTCTAGGGAAGAATCTATTCTCTGACCTTTACAGTTTCTAGAGACTCACATTACTTGGCTCATGTACCGTCTTCCATCTTCTAAGCCAACAGATGCATCACTTTGACCCCTGCTTCCAACCTTACTTGTTCTTCTCTGGTTCATCTAAATTCCTCCTCCAGATCGTAAGGAGCGTTGTGATGATATTGGACCTGCCCAGGTAATCCACAATAGTGCCCCTATCTTAGGATCCTTAACTTAATCACTTGTGTGAAGTCTCCTATGCCCTGTAAGGTAACATGGTCATACCTTCCTGGATTAGTACATGGACATCTTTGGAGGGACCGTACCGTTCTGCCCACCACAGTCCTATTCCTGTTGTATTTTGTTATTTTACTTTATGGTTTTCCTCTTTATTCACTGTGCCTGTTTTTATTCCAATTCTACTCTCCCTCATTCCCATGCCCTAGGCACCCACTGTAGTGTGTTTAATGTGTGCCCTTGGTTATATATATACCACTGAATGATCCTCAGGGTTTGATATATGTATGCATTTGTGTTTCAATTTACACATATTGCCAGGCACTATGGCTCATGCCTGTAATCCCAGCACTTTGCAGGGGCCAAGGCAAGAGGATTGTTTGATCCCAGGAGTTCGAGACCAGCCTAGTGAGACCCCATCTCTACAAAAACTCAAAAAATTAGCCAGGCATGGTGATATATGCCTGTAGTCCCAGCTACTCAGGTGGCTGAGGTGGCAGGATTACCTGAGACCAGGAGGTTGAGTCTGCAGTGTGTGGTCGTGCCACTACACTCCAGCCTGGGCGACAGAGTGAGACCCCAACTCAAATAATAATAATAACAACAAAATTTCACATATTATCTTAGATATAGAATATGTTTCTTTTTCACTTAACATAAGTTTTTTTAAAATTTATTTTTGCTTATTTATATTTTCTACAGTGGATGTGTTCATTAATTTTTTTGTTTTTTTTTTTTTTTTGAGTTGGAGTCTCACTCTGTCACCCAGACTGGAGTGCAGTGGCCGCTCCCGGCCACTGCAGCCTCCACCTGCTGGGTTCCT